CGGGCCCGGGCTGGATTCGAACCCGCCACCTTAGGTGTATGTGGCTGGCGCCTTAGCTGCTTGAGCCACAGGTGCCGAGCCTCATTCTTTATAAAAGAGTATCTGTGCATAGGAAAGATATACTCATCCATATATACTAGTTATTACTTGTAAATGATGGCCTATGGGTCATTGTCACTTTCTTTTTGTTGTGTGTCTGTATTTTTGGCACTTTCTACAGCAAGCATATATTTTCTTTTGTTATAAATGTCATTTTAAAAAAGAGATAACTACATAGCTAATTATTTTAATCTTGAACCATTTTAAATATTCTTTCATGATATTTTTAACAGAATTTTAATTAAATTTGTTAATAAAAACTTAAATTTAATATTTAATTTACCTTTAAATATTAAAAGGTAATATATATTACCTTTTCCTTACAAAACTTCCAGTCAGACAAGCAGGAGATGAAAATATCTCTTGGATTTCCCTACATTAGGAATGAAACAGTGGTTAAACAAAATCATACAGTATGCTTCTTTGTAGCGTGAGACGTGATAAATACAACATCTGTAACTGTTTTCCAAACTTTTCCCTTTGTCTCCTACTTGTACGCAAATTATCTTGGCATCCAAAAGTCTATTCCATTTTCTAGATCTCAAATTTTCAGTTGTAAATATGAGAAATCAAAAGGTTTATATGTACTCAGAGAAGCCACAAATAAAGAGGAAAAGGCATGATCTAGGGTCTGTACTTTCTGGGGATTCCAACCCACCCCCTATGCAAGGCCCTATTTATTTCTGTTTCACTGAAGTGGAAACAAAATAAATTACCAGAAAATAAATGGGAGGAAGGGGTATATAAGCTCAGTTTCATCTTAGAAGTAATTATATAAATAGTTCTTGATCATTTGTGCTTGGCAAACTATGATACAACTATTTTGTAAACCTATTTCCCAGGATTAGAAATATATCTGTGAAAGACGTTTGTCAGAATGAGCATGATCTTTACAGGTTGTAGGAGTTCCATGGTTTAGAAAAGGTTCACCCACATTGTTCAGCTATGAATAGGAGGTGTGTAAATAAGTGGTTCCAGGGTCAAATAGGACTGGGAAGTACTATAGACTATATTTCTTTCTCAGAGACTCACTTTACATACAAACACATTAAAGGCCCAGAGAAGTCACACAGTAAAGAAGGCTGTCCTTTAGGGGGGATGGTAAATTTTCTGTGTCAACATAACTAGGCTATAGTACTTGGATATCTGCTCAAATATTACTCTAGATGTTTGTGTGCTGGTATTTTTTTAAGAGATCAACAGCCAGAACTGTAGACTCTGAGGAAAGCACATTACCCTCCCACAATGTGGGTGGGCCTCACCCAATTGATTGAAGAGAAAAGACTGGGGTCACCCCAGGAAGAGGGCATTCTGCCTCCAGATGGCCTTTGGATTCCAGCTGCAACATCAAGTCTTCACTGAGCCTCCAGCTTGCTGGCCTAACCTACAGATTTTTTTTTCTTTTTTTTGAGACAGAGTCTCACTTTGTCACGCTTGGTAGAGTGCCGTGGCGTCATAGCTCATAGCAACCTCAAACTCTTGTGCTCAAGAGATCCTCTTGCCTCAGTTTTTCATTTTTAGTAGATGAGATCTCACTCTTCCTCAGGCAGGTCTCAAATTTGTGAACTCAAGAGATCCACCTGCGCTGGCCTACCAGCGTGCTAGTATTACAAGCATGAGCCACTACGCCCAGCCTATCCTACAGATTTCTGACTTGTTAGCCCTTACAACCACATTAGCCAATTTCTTAACACATGAACTGCCATGTGAGTTATATTTAACTCACACTAGTTTTGAGCCTGGAGCCTTACGAAGTATATAGAACTAGCAGATAGACAAAAGGCCCATAGCATACCAGTGCGCTGTGCAACTACGCTCACTGTTTGCGCTTTCACTGGGCCTGTCTCCCCCACTTCCTGTTGTCCTGCTTCAGCTGGCCCACCCAAGCATGCCTCACATGCTGGACTAGGTTTGCCAATTACCATAACTTTTAATTGTGCATTTTCCCTTGAATATTTGCCTGGCAGCTCTTCAAAAGAAAATGATTGGATAGTATGAGAGGACACAACACTGTTGCATATACTTAGGGGGTATGATTTAGAAGTCATCATGCAGGACCACTAAGGTCAACTCCAGATGCAATTAAAGACTTGTGGAATGACAAAAGATTCAATTCTCAGAAACAAATTTATTAAGTATGTCATGAGTCACATATAACTCATGTGGCACGCTGTGTAAAATTGATTCTAGCACTGCATGAGTTGCATATAACTCATGCAAGAAAATAATAAAAATAATAAATTTTTCATTAATTTAGAAAGAATTTTTTTGAAATTTTTATTTTATTTTACTTATTTTCATAATAAAACACTGTGGCCCCAAGGGAAAAAAATTTTTTTTCTAGTGTGACAGTAAATTTGATAAATAATCTCTTTCTCCATTGTTAGATAGATAGATGATAGCTAGATAGATAGATAGACAGATAGTGTATATACATACATTGGTCTATTTCTCTGAGAAACCTAACACACTCATGGGCCACAAAATCTCATTTCTCTGGATTGTGCAGAACCAGTTTGGGAAATGCTATTGAGAGAGAGAGACATGCGGGGGGCACCTTTTTGTATTCTGCCACCGTTTAGCCTCGACATCAGCAATCCACCTCTTTACAGTCTCTTCATTCAGTGTAGGAATTTTCCTCCTCAGATTAACATAGGAATTCTGAAGACAAAAAAGTAAAATACAATAATTTAGACATATCAGAAATAGTTACCCAACTTTTAGGCACAGTCTAAGCATAGAGTAAGACTGATTTCTAAATATGAATGACACCACCCTGGGACAATCATAAAATAAAGCTCTACCAAAAAGCAATCAATCATATGTTTGGTTGCCACTTTCTTGTCCAAGGGGGCCCAGACTCAAAGTAAATTTCCCTAAGAGTTCCAACATTCAGCACTTTGTACCACTACAATCAGGTCAAACTGATCAGCACTGAAGGGAAAATCTAGAGTAGCTATGTGCAGAAGTGGGAGGAACTTGATTTCCCTTGGTGAGATAGGGAAGGAAAGTCATGGATATACTATGAAGTATATACATGGATATACATGAAGCTTGGGTATTTTTTAGTACTAGCTGCTAGGGTCATTTTTAGAATCTGTTACCGTGCTGGCTTACCAGGAAACCGACCAAACACCATTGACAAGGAGACCCCCAAAAGGTAAGTAGAGTCTAAAGAAATCATACTTATTTCACATTCACTAGGGACAAAACTGCTGATTTTTGTGAGCAAATATTGATAAAGTTTAAACAATAAAGGATTGTTAATAATGTCCAGCTATTCCCCCAAAACTTAGGCTAGTAACCTGAGGATTTTGGAATTCACTAAACCTGGATTCTACCACTCTTTGTTTTGCTTAAAATGCCAAGTTACAGAACATCTAGAGATCTACTTTTTACCTCTTTGTCCATCCAGAGAAGAATGCTTTGATTCTCTCCAGCAATCATTATTAACTCCTTTTCTGAGGCGTGGCTTTCTGAAAAGGATGTACAAAAAGCAAAGTTTAGAAAGTCATTTGGCACAATCACGCATATTTAGTTTAAATGATTTTAGATTCTTCTTAAAGGTATAGTCATTTTATCTTTTTAATAGGCAAAGACTCAGCATATTTTCTACCAACTAAGAAGCAGAAATATATGTATTTTTAGAAGTAAAGTCTAGTTGGGAAATATGTGATTCATAAGATTGACATGTGTACCAGTTTAATATATATAATTAACAAAAATGTTTATATGTAAAATGCAAACAAATATTTAGTTGTTACCAAGTTTAATTCAGTTTAATATATATAATTAATAAAAATGCTTATATGTAAAATGCAAACATTTTAGTTATTTAGTAGTTAATTGTTACCTAGTTTAATTCAAATTTAATATTTAGTTAGTTAATTGTTACCTAGTTTAATTCAGCTCCCATTACTAAAAACCATGTTCTCGAGATGTAACCAGTGACTGCTGGCTATGAAAAACAACTACTTTAAGCCCCATATAACTGGTCATAAGAAATCAAAGATAATGTATGAACTCACTAAAGTAGTTACTATTCCTTTCCTCACAAGCATTGAGTACATTTTATTGCTGTAGGTCACCACCAAGCTTTCAAAACAACCAACAAAAGTGCTCTGAGGTGCTTCTAATGGCAGAATAAGTTTTGGAGCTCAGGCTGAGGTCACACAGGCACTGTGCAGCTCCAGCCAAATCACTGGCGCTAAGGGGCTAACCCTTTGCTCTCCAATCTCTGCATCCACTAGTAAAATGAATGACAGAACACACTTCCAACACCTGCTACAAGGATGAGGCGACAGGCGTATGCTGAGTGTGCTTCGAGTCCCTGCTACATGTCAACTGCTCAATATCCCAAGGGTCTCAAATGATTATGAGTCAACTTACCTAGATAGGAAAACCAGTCATCATGGAAGTAATAAGCCTCACAAAGACTGGAATCAGAGCTGCATGTACCTCTGAATCCATACAGTCTATGTGATTTTCTTATCATTTAAATTCACATTATTCCTATTCTGAAGGAGCAATATAAAAATCATGATTATTCTGACTTGACAAGTTACACGGACTCTTCTTAATTGTTTCCAGTAAAAAATGAAACCAATGTTTAGAAAGGCTCCCTTTATACACATACACTGCTTTCCTTACCACATCATCCACTTAGGAAATTCACTTTCTCTAAAAAGATATCACTCCAAATCCTGTGCTCCTGTAGAATTTACCTAATTGGAGTTCCTCATTTGAAGATAATCTCATGGGAAGTGGTGTCAGCTGATTTTGTGTTCCACTGTTTCCCAGTTGTCCCTCTTTTCCAGAACCAAAGGAAAAGACCTTTCCCAAATCAGAAACATAGGCAAGTGTGTGCCACCTATTAAATAAAACACGTGGTCAATTCTTGATTAGCCACAATGACAAGAGTACTTAGCAGTACAGTAAACTGCTGAAGTTAGGTTGCCCAGTGAGAGTGAAACTAGTTAAGCAACTCTCAAAGGACAAAAACCATCTGGAAACCAAGAAATCAGTGTGTAGCTGAGATACTTTGGAATTCAAGGGCATCTCAAGACCATGATGTCACACATTAGCAGACAGGGTTCCCTTTCTTCAGAGCCAGATCTCCTCTTGCCTCCTGCTCCTTTTTCAAGGCTTAGCTTGAGTCCTTCCTCTCTCCATCCTAGATGACTCCATTTCCCAAAGACATTGATCACACTGATTTTCCTACTAATTGGTCTCTCCCACTGCACTGATGTATAGTACAGGAATTTGGCCTTGCCCAAAGAGAGGTCTGACCTTTGTACTCAGTTCCTGGGAGGTAACCTCCAAACCCATGGAATTGCCAAAGTGATTGAGGACAGTCTTTGTTATTCATGGAGGGACCCTGCCAAAGCACTTGAGAGGTGGTAGGGGAAAGCTCCCCAGATCTGCAGTATAAGCCAGACCTACAGAATAAAGGGGCTAGAGATTGAGATCAATGATGTGGGCAATGATTCGATCAATCATACCTAAGCAATAAAACCCTAATAAAAACTCTGGACTCAGGTGAATTTCTCTGGTTGGCAAATTCTGTACATACTGCCAGATACCAGGCTGGGAGAGGTAACACCAGCCACCTGCTTTAAAGAGAAACAACTTTAAGTTTGGTGTTTGGACCCTTCCTAGACCCTACCTTTCTCTTCCTTGGACTGATAACTAATTTGCATCCTTTATTTGTAATAATTGTAAATGTGAGTCTAATAGTTTTCAGTATGTTCCGTGAGTCTTCCTAGTGAATTCTCCTGTTAGTAAGGGGATTGCCCTGGCTTACATGATGATCAATCTCTAACTTGCCTCCTTCTCTTATAATACATGCTACTCAAAGGACCGTGTGTCATGAAGAATCCAAAGTGATGATAGCACTGCTCTGATGAGAGAAATTAAATGACATATCAATACTAAAAAGAACATCTCTCTGGTGAAGGAAATCATATTCCAATAATCTGGTCTACCTTAACAGTATTTCCCATTGATGTAATTTTACTCCAAGATCAAAAGAAAATACGTCTACAGATCAAAAATATGTACAACAGTTTTTCATAGGAAGGGTTTTGATATACTAACACGTGCACTCAAAATTCAGATAGCGTCTAACTTGCTCTTTGTTTAGTGAGGAAAACATTTGCCCAAAAGAAGAATAAGTGGGTGAAAATATCTTTTTAACCTGACCAAATTTCAACATCCTACTGGCAAGATAGGAATTGATAAACCTGACAATTTAAGAAAATAATTAGGTAAACCATAGAGTTTAAGATTTTTTGCCCTTATGAAAAAGTGAGCTATGAAAAACAAACCTCTCAGGAATAGTCTACTCTAACCACTGCTTTCCTGTGATTAGAACAGGCTACTAGGAAAGAATTATGGGCACTAAGAAACATGTGGCCCTGAGGGGTCGTGAGAGAGGGTAATACATAGTGAATAAGCCTTTGTAATTCATGCTTATTTATTTTTCCCAAATAAATAATGACTTATTTTTCTTTCCTTTTTTTTTTTTTTTTTTTTTTTGAGACAGAGTCTCACTTTGTTAGAGCCCTTGGTAGAGTGCTATGAAGTCCTAGCTCACAGCAACCTCAAACTCCTGGGCTCAAGCGATTCTCTTGCCTCAGCCTCCTGAGTAGCTAGGACTACAGGCACCTGCCACAACCCCCCATTATTTTTAGAGATGAGATCTTGCTCTGGCTCAGGCTGGTCTTGAACCTGTGAGTTCCAGCAATCCACTGGCTTTGGCCTCCCAGAGTGCTAGAATTACATGTGTGAGCCACTATGCCCGGCTGACTTACTTTTGTTAAAGATAAAAGTACATCTGAGTAGTTACCAAGGTATTTCACTAAAGAGACAACAGAAAGAATATTTGCTCATTTAAAGAAATCAAAGAAAATAAATGTGTATAATAAAAGATTTAGTAGGATTATCTAACAATACAAATTAAGCATCTTCACCGATTTGAAAATGTTTGACACTTAACATCTCAAAGAAACTGATGGGAATTTTACTGAGTTACTCCCCAGTTTACATTTGGTGATCTTCTTTGACACTTCACATCTTACCTTCCACATGCTATCTGGGTCACCCTTTTCCCAGTGAGCTCGGTCACCAAACGGGGTCTTAGCTCATTCTGTGTTCCACTGTGACCAAGTTGCCCATATTTTCCAGCACCAAAAGTAAACACCAGCCCATCCTAAGAAAGACCTTTATATTAGATGCCAGAGAAATGTAACATGGAAGTCATATTCACTGACGCAAAACCTTCTGCTCAGCAAATAACTAATAAAAGGACTGTCAAAGTTAAGCTTCCAAATTACTTTGGAAGTGACATGTGGGAAGTGACAACGTTTCTTCCCTGGGAAACACTAACTGCATATAAAATATTCTTCCAGAAATACTGTCAAAAAGGCGCAGTCACCTCTGTGAGCAGGGCAGTGTGAGAGCCACCGCAAGTGAGAAATTCCACTCTCTGGTCGTCCAGTGCTTCAATAAGGGAAGGAGAAGCTTCACCTATGTAGGGAAAAACAGCGGATGTGACCAAAAGGAAATCCAATAGCACCTCTGTACGTTGACTGTCCCAGGGACTGGAAAAAAGTGGTCTACATACAGAGGCGGTCAACTGTATGGAACTGGGCCTACTGTACTGACATGCACACGTGGTGCTTGTCTGGTCTATGGCAATTAGGTCAACTGAAGGAGGTGGCCAGTGTAGGACGGTGGTCACCTATGGAGGTTCCACTGTACTGACTTTCACCTTGGAGTTACCTAGACTGCTTCCTCTCAACCCAGCAACAACAGTTCCTATCGTATTCTGACATGAAAGACTCTGGGTCAGGATGTTTAGGCCCTAAATCAGGGCCTGAAGGAGGGGGTGAGGTTGTGGCCAAAAGGGTCACACTTAAGGGTCCCTCCTGTGAAAGGCCAGGCTGCTTCCCAGAGCTCGTTCATCTTATTCCTACCTGACTTGATGAACTTTAATTGTACTGCATTAGATGTTTCTTCTAACAACCATTTTTTCTTTTAAATTCTATACTGCAGCGTCTTTGGCTTAATACTGCCTCTTCTTTTCTTCACTATTACGTTCCCATTAAAACAACCAGACATTCAGAAAAAATAGTTTAATGGCCTAGTTACTCTTTTGCTTCCTTTAAAAATTTTTCTAATGCTGGCTAATGGGTTATTCTACATAACTAGCACTGAACTATGTCAGGGAGAAATGCAGTAAATGCTGACCAGAGATCTAGGGTAATGCACACATCACCCTGTAGGGTCAGGCAGCAGAAAGTGTTACATCTGAAAACTCTAATAGTTGTCTCAGACCATAAACGATTTTGCCATCTGCTCTGTTCAATAATGGGAATTGTGTGTTTTTTGTTTGTGTGAGTGTGTATACCTTATAGAATAAGATCAGGACATGTGACTTGCTAAATAGAATGTTAGTATCCTTTTGTAATAATATAATTATATTAATAGACTTTAAGTGCAAAGGCAGAGATTATATCATCTAAATTTGTCACTTTACAGAAAAATAAAATAAAGCCTAGAGAAAAGTTAAGTGGCTGGGCAAGACCCTGCAGTTAGTAACTGCAAAGAGGGAACCAGGAATCCAGATGTTCCGATCCCTAATGCAATGCTTTGTCCTTGAAATGGGTCTCAAATATAGTAACCACTTCCAAACTATGCATGTCTCTTAGACCAATTCAGCCCTGAAGACAGAGAGAAATAATCAGGAAAAACAGAGCAAATTCGAGTGGGAAATTTGAACTGTTTTGACATGTTAAATTCATCTCTATTCTAAAATATTACTTGTTGATAATATGACTCTAAGAATACATTCCATACCTGTGGTGTGGCCCAGGCCTAGTTGTCCAAATTCATTTTTTCCCCATGAGTAAATGTTTCCAGCCATGGATAAGGCCATGCTGTGGGCTTCTCCCGCAGAAATCTGCACCAAGGGGACTCCTGCGAGGGTCTCCACCCTCTGTGGTGTTGGGGTTGAGGGAAACACCATTCCAAGTCCGAGCTGGCCATGCAGGTTCTGACCCCAGGCAAAAAGCTCACCACCTTGATATAAACAGAGAAACTGATGTCAGCAGACATTACCCTGGGGCATTATGCACGCTCTACGGAATGTTAAAACACGATCTTACCTTCACACTGACCGGACTCTCAGATCCCGCCTGTCTGACTCAGAAAACAAGAGTGTTTAGGAGTAGCAGTGATACTTCCCTATCTCCTACCTCTAAGGGTATGATGAAGTTATTTTAACACATTGTAATCAAAATTTAAGCAGTATTTACTTAAAAATCCGAGAGGACTGGCCCATGAAAAACAGAAACATTCTATCTCTGGGAAAATAAAACTTGGAATTACTCTTTTCACTTCCTCCCTCTTATGTGCCTAAAAATTCCAAATAAACAACTTGTAAAATTGCAGAATCCTTAAAACATCAGTTTCTTCTTCCAATAATTAAATATATAAAGCCTATTTTTCAAGGACTCCTCTAAAGGAGTCTGAAAAGCCCATCAGAGGAGGAATGTGCACTGAGCACGGCTTTGCAAAATACAGCACAGGATCTGACGGGAGGCAGCGCCTCTCCTTCAAATAGCCTTCCCTGTGCCTTCCAGTCACCAGAAATATAACCATGAGCACGACCAATTTCTCTCTTGCTTTGCCAACTTTCATTCTTTCTGTCTTGTGATTTACCAATAATAAACACCAAACATCCCCATACCCTGCATATAATCGCCCCCAGACCCTGGGCTAGGGTGGGTTTCACTTCATAACCTAAACATGGTAGATACTCAATGTGAAATATTTGCCTAAGAATGGATGAAGTCAAAGGACTACTTTTTTCCAGTAAACGTATCATATTCTCAAACCTCAAAAGGCCTTCAGTACAGGTAAAACACTTACCTGTTAACTTCTTCCAAATTCAAGCTTCCATTCAGTTTATGAACATGTTTACATATGTCTACCATAGTAACAAAAATTCCTTTGACCCCAAATTCCCCTCTTTCTCCTGCTGTCTTAATTATTACTTTAGGAAATAACCCATATTCACTGCTTCCCTCCCTCCAGTACAGTAGCTCATAGGAAACAGGCAATACTGAAGGGCCGAGGAAACTACTCGAATTCAAAAGGTAATGTTAAAACACCCCAGAGGCCAGGCCTACAACTGGACAGAAATCCTGAGCGCCTACCACTGGAGCTGAAGGAGTGCTGGGAAAAGGAAAGAAAGGTTCCAGAAAGGGGTAGCCCAGGCCTGGCCCAGACTCCAGAGAGAATAGTTTTGATTATCCAGAAAGTTTTCACTATTTCATACTTGAAAAATAAAAACATGGGCTCAGCGCCTATAGCATAGTGGTTATGGTGCTAGCCACATACATCGAGGGTGGCAGGTTCAAACCCTACCCGGGCCAGCTAAACAACTGCAACAATAAAATAGCCGGGCATTGTGGCAGTCACCTATAGTCCCAGCTACTTGGGAGGCTGAGGCAAGAGAATTGCTTAAGCCCAAGAGTTTGAAGTTACTGTGAGCTGTGATGCCACGGCATTTTACCGAGAGCGACATAGCGAGACTCTGTCTGAAAAAAAGAAAGAAAAAGAAAAACATGATACAAAATGTAGGAATAGTAATTATGGAAATCTGAAAATGTTATAGATTCAAGAATTCTCTTTTTCTATCTCCTTTAAGAATAGTCCTCCGAGGCCAGGCCCAGTGGCTCACGCCTGTAATATTAGCACTCTGGGAGGACAAGGCAGGTGTGCTTGAGCCTGAGCAAGAGCAAGACCCCATCTCTAAGAAAGAAATTAGCTGGGCCTCCTGGTGGGCACTTGTAGTCCCAGCTACTCCAAAGGCTGAGGCAAGAAGATCACTTCAGCCCAAGATTTTGAGGCTGCTGTGAGCTATGACCCTAGGGCACTCTACCCAGTGCGACAGAGTGAAACTCTGTCAAAGGAAAGGGGAAAGTGAAGGACTGAACCATACCATATTTAAAACCATTTTTCTATCATGTTGCAAAGTGTGGCATATACATTCTCCTGGCTCTACATAGAAATACATTTATTACTTATAAAAAATTGATGTTAAAACGGTACCTTTTGAGAGTGCAAGAGAATGATAATCTCCACATGTGATCTGAATTATACACTTTTCTTGCAAAATTCTTTGAAACCTGATGAAAGAAAATATATTTTATGCTAATCACCATAATGGAAGTTACCACATGAATGTTAGAACTATTAACTGTATTTAATTAGGAATTGAAAGTCAAGAAAAAAATTTAAATTTATTGCTTCACATTCAGCATATATATTTAAAATTACTTTCAAAAGCTTTAAATGGACTCGGCACCTGTAGCACAGTTATGGTGCCAGCCACTTACACCGAGGGTGGCAGGTTTGAACCCAGCCTGGGCCAGCTAAACAACAATGACAACTGCAACAAAAAATAGCCAGGCGTTGTGGTGGGTGCCTATAGTCCCAGGTACTTGGGAGGCTGAGGCAAGAGAATCACTTAAGCCTAAGAGTTTGAGATTGCTGAGAGCTGTAATGCCATGGCACTCTACCTAGTGTGACGAAGTGAGACTCTGTCTCAAAAAAAAAAAAAAAACTTAAATGTTTTAATTAGTGGCTTAAAGAGAAAATAATATGCATTATATATGTGTAAAAGGATGATTCTAAAATACTTCCTAATAAACTAATAAACTTGAGTTATAATTCATATGATAGACCAGGAAAAAGTCTCACAAGTCATTCCATGATAACGTATTTTTCTAGGTTGGAAACTTACACTGATAGCATTATTGTGAGGATCAAATTGGTCAATGACTAGTCCAATTACATCTTGGAAGACTACTCACTCATTTCCTGTAAATGCCAAAACAGCATGATACCTGCCCTAGGAGACATACTGGTTTGAAGTATACTAATGGACTTCACTGGATACTTTAGGATTCATCATTTACATAAGATGCTATTATACATAAAGCAGGGAACAAGAAGCATATACGGTAACATTTTCCTACAAAATTAGTGTCCTTTGAGTAAAATTAAAATCATTTAATAAAAGAAAAAAGTTCCTTACCTTGGATGTTCTATGCTATAGTTGTACTCAAATGGTTTTCCATCGGAAGATAAAACCAACAGGTGCTCTCTTCCTTGGTCCATGGAATGTATCTTCATTTTTTTTTCTAACTTAAGGTATTCTGCAGAGTAAATCCAACCAAGAACTGCCATCACTCTGATCATTACCCATTATCATTATTGATTTCATTACAATACATGTAAAACATCTGGAAAAAATTCCAACTAGACAATCATTGAATTAACATGAACTTCTCTTTAAGAAAATTCATGCATGCCAAGCAAAATTAGGAATAACAAATGTCTTGAAGTAGATTTTTTTTTCATTTGGAAAAGCACTGATTTATACTTTGTTTTAAATGTAGTATACCCTTAAAACAGCCAGTTAAATATCTGCTTTTAGCTTTTTGTTTAATAAGTGGAGACAAACTAAATTTGAAATGATAAAAATGAAAAGGTGTATGAGAAAATATAACTTAATTTTAGGACACCATAACTCAGTTCAAGAACAAATATACTGCATATTCTGACACCTATTCTCTCCAAAAACAAAGCAAATCACAATAACAAACACTTCTCAACTGCCTCTAATAGAAGCCAATGCCTGTGCTTTTAAAAGAAAGGGCTGTGTTTGGAGGGGGAGGGGGCTATTTTTAAAGGAGATGCTGTCCAAAGAATTTTCGTTGGCATTATAGTGCATTTTGACCTTATTAAAAGTTAAGAAATTTGAAATTGTCCACTAGTTACTACTTTAACTCATTTTATTTGTTCACAAAAATTAAAATTAAACAAGGATACTTTGGGGATCTTGTTCCACTCTTCTATGCCAATGAAATAGAATCTATTCGTTTAAAAATCTCAAAGCGCAAACCACATTGCAAATTCTAGGAGAAACAAACCAGTTTGGTAATAAGAAATGGCCCAATAGACTTCTTTGAAAAAGCTATTTAAAGACTGCACCCCGTGGCTCACACCTGTAATCCTAGCCTCTGGGAGGCCCAGGCAGGTGGATTGCTTGAGCTCACTAGTTAGAGACCAGCCTGAGCAAGAGTGAGACCCTGTCTCTAAAAGAACACCCTGCTGTTGTGTGGGTGAAATTGTGAGAGAAATCGCTGAGGAGTAGAGACAGACAAAGCCCTCCTCTTGAAGCATTTATTTGTGGTCTCTGCCAAGCATTAGGGACACCCACAGGTTGTGTGGAAGCTGGTCCCCTACACTGTTGTGGAGGGCGCCTGAGTCTCAGCTTCTTGGAAGACTAGGGTAAAAGGATCGCTGGAGCTCAAGAGTTTGAGGTTGCTGTGAGTTATGACACCTGGGCACTCTACCCAGGGTGACAAAAGTGAGACTGTGTCTCAAAAAAAAAAGGCAATTGAACATTTTAAATCAGTTATAAAAGAGGGGTATTCGGGGAATAAAGCCAGAACATCCAGGTAGCCATTTGGAAAAACAAACCTATCGTCCCATCTCACTCCTTAAATCAAAATCAATGTACCAACATTTTAACTTCAAAAATAAAATCTTAAAACTACTATAAAAATGAGCACATTTTTTAACATTTTGAAAGTGTGGATAGCTTTCTAATTTAACCCAAAATCCATAGGCCTCTTGAAAAGGAAAAAAAAAACTGTAAGAAAATTTAAATTGTGCACGGCAAAACATAACATCAACAAAAAGTAAGATGAGAAAAATATTACAACATATATGACGTGCAAAAGCCTATTCTTTTTTTTTTTGAGATAGAGCCTCAAGTTGTCCCCCTGGGTAGAGTGCCATGGCATCACAGCTTACAACAACCTCCAACTCCTGGGCTCAAGCGAGTCTCCTGCCTCAGCCTCCCAAGTAGCTGGGACCACAGGTGTCCACCATAATGCCCAGCTATTTTTTTGGTTGCAGCCGTCATTGTTGTTTGGCAGGCCTGGGCTGGATTCGAATCTGCCACCTTAGGTGTATGTGGCTGGCGCCTTAGCCACTTGAGCCACAGGCGCCGAGCCCAAAAGCCTATTCTTACTCAATATTCAAGTACCTCTTTCAAGGAAATAACTCATTTTTTTTTAATCCAGGCATAGATGAACATGTAATTTACCGAAAAAGGAATACAAATGCCCCCTGGAAAACGGAAAAAGATGCTCGACTGAACGTTAAGTACCAAAGATACGCCGGTTAGATACCAGTATGTCACTCTACAGATGGGCAAAATTTTAAAGAACACTGTGTGTGCATTTCCTTTCCTGCATCTGTAAAATCGGAACCACAGTACCTAACACCTACGGAGACTAGGATCTGGGAGAAGCTTAATCCAAGGCCAATGTGAGATATTATCACTGACAGAGAACAGGATAAGGACATTCTCCAGAGGCTCACAAAATCCGGGCAGGTATGTTCTAAAGAGGAGGAGGGGACCAGATCTGAAGAGAACCCAGTTATAGAGGAAAACTGGCTGAAATGGTGAAGATTCTGCCTGCATACTCTGTGTCGGTCAGTTTGCTCAGTGACGGAGCTATCTGTCGCTCGCATCCCAAGAAGCCCGCGCGCAGCAGGGACAGGGGTGAGGGACCGCGCAGGTGCGCAGCACCGCACACCCAGGACCGAGCCGAGCCTGGCGTGAGCCTGTGGCCAGCGCGGACCACCACAGCGCCGGTGCCCCCTGAGCTGTCCTTCCTTCACCCCGCAACCCGGGCCAGCCTGGGAGAACGTCCCCGCTGTCCCCGCCGTCCCCGCCGTCCCCGCCCGGCCCCGCAGGCGGAGCGGGCACGGAGCCCAGCAGCCCGCCCCTCAGACCCCGGCCCGAGGCGGGACGTCGAGCGAGCGTCGTCAGCTCCACTCACTGGGCTTCCCGGCGCCGTCGCTCCCCGCGAGCCCCGGGTGGACCTGGACACCGGCCCCGCCGTGCTCCAACACCGCCAGGCGCCCCCGGGCGCAGCAGATCTGGCGCGTCGCCTGGGCCCTCGCGAGCAGCGCGCCGTGCAGACCCGCGGCGCCGGGGAACAGCCAGAGCTGCGCGCGGGGCGGCTGCGCGGAGCCGGTCCCGGCGGAGCGGGAGCCGGGGGCCGACCCCGGAGCAGAGCGCGTGCAGCCCCGCGCCCTCCTCGGCGGCCTCCGCTCCATCGCCGCTTGGCCGGGCTCCTCTGCCGGGAGACAAGAGAAGACGCGGAGACGTGGGATGTGAGGGACCCACTGGGCGAGCCCGGCGCCGCCCCGCAGCCTCCTGCGCTCCGCCCCGGCCCGGCCCCAGGCTCCCGGAGCGCTGTTTGGGGGCGAGGCCAGCAGTCAGTGAGAAACGAAACTGAAATTATTTAGGGGCCGAAATGGAAAACGAAAAGGAAACTCGAAAGTCAGTGGCTTAGGAGGTGGCCAAAGTAAACAAGCCTCGGGCAGGTGATAAAGTGAGACGCACCCCCGGGGGACCCGGGAGGCAGCGGCCTCCTGAACTGACTCCCGGATAGAGTGGCTTTGGAGGAAACCGCAGTTCCACGAGGAGGCACCCCCACACTTGCCGACTTGAAGAATTGCCAGTCGTAGTGACAAAGGACCCTGAAGTTTGTTAAGCGTTCTGCTCCCAGCGGAGCCTCGAGAAGTGGCTGTGCAGTCAGTAAGCCACCGCCCCCCACACTCCCCGAGCCCGGAGAACAGTCACGTGCTTTCTGTTAACGTAGTTTGGCTTTTTCTAGAATCTCGTACAAATGGAACCCTATCTAAGTGGTCTTTTGTGTCTGACTTTTTTACTTAACAATGCTTTTAAGATTCGGCCTACTGGCTCGGTGCCTGTGGCTCAAGTGGCTAAGGCGCCAGCCACATATACCTAAGGTGGTGGGTTCAAATCCAGTCCGGACCGCCAAAACAATGACGGCTGCAACCAAAAAATAGCCAGGTGCTGTGGCGGGCACCTGTGGTCACAGCTACTTGGGAGGCGGAGGCAGGAGACTCACTGGAGCCCAGGAGTTGGAGGTTGCTGTGAGTTGTGATGCCGCAGCACTCTACCTAGGGGGACAGCTTGATGCTCTGTCTCAAAAAAAAATATTCCTCGTATTGAGGAGACACTGCATAGAGTGTTAGGGTTGAACAAAGATTCTCCAACTCTCCAGCCAAGGTAACTCTAATCCGGTATGCCAGACGTCCCGATTTTAAACAATTTGTCCCGCGTCCTGAGGCGTTATTTAAAAGTCCCGATTTTTGGAAAGAATGCATGACAAGCTAGGGATCGGCGGGACAACCGGAAGGGAATATACAGTTTCGGCTGCTGAAAAGGTTAATGTAACTCCATTTGGGAATGAAGAGGTTAATGTAACTTCATTTGGAAATGAAGAGGCTAATGTAAACTCCCTACTCCCCACCTGGGCAAGGTGGCCCAGGTGGACCAGCGCCCTACTCCTTTGAGCCACAGGCGCGGCCCTATACATAATTTTTTTTAATGCATTATATTTGTAAATTGTACTTAGTTGAAATTAAAAATATATATATATTACAATACTATTTTTGCGTTCTATGAAAATTTGTGTTGCTCCATATAGACCAAATTTTTAATTAAGAACACCCCCCCACCCCACCCTCATCCCTGTCAATGGTGTCCCGCTTTACCAATGTTAAAATCTGGGCACCTTAGGTATGCTAACTCTCCCATTGGCTAAACAAGGGGGAGTCCGTGTGGTGTTAACACTTCCTCCTGTATGGATATGAATACCTAGAGGAAAACGGGAACCCCAGTTAGCTCCGTGGCTACAGTAGGGCCCTGCTAGTGACTTGGTGCCTGACTGGAGGTTACTGACTTCAATACTCCAGGATTTCAGAGCAGTTCTACAGGAACTCCTGAAGCTGGGCCTGTCACCCGTTATCTTAGGGTTCATTATCTACCTTATAGTCCACTATTCACTTCAGTACTGTGCTAGACAGTAAATGAAAGTACTAATGTTCTTGTTGAGCAAACCTTAAATTTGCAACCACCACTGGTGAATACTTGAACACAACTGTACAACTGTTTTATTTCAGGTGGTGTCTGTGACTAAAGGAGTAGGGTGCTGGCCTTGTATCCTGGGGGTGGTGGGTTCAAGTCCAGCCCTGGCCAAAACTGCATAAAAATAAATAAATTCTTTAAAAAATTGTTAACAAAACAAAACTGTTTCATTCCTCTTATCCTGGCCCCATCCTCAGTTATGCTCCTTATCAGCAGTAAGAAGCCAAGTAGTCCTCTGCCCTTCGTCCATCTCATTAGCCCACACCTCAGGAAAGACGTGGGATGAAGCCTGGAGGGGTGGGGAGCTGAACCCACCCTTTATAAAATTAATAATGAGTCTCACATATCGGTAATAGTGTTAAAAAAAAAAAAAAAACCTCACAAGGGGGGTTCATGTTGCTTGCACACCGAAAGCCAGTTACTGAGACAACAGGATTATCAAGGAGGAAAAGATTTATTTCAGAAGATGTGTCAACTGGGAGGCAGAGGCACACACTGCCTCAAATCCACCTCCCCAATCAGCAGGGTCGGGGGAGTTTATGAAGGTGAAAATGAATACGCAGGACTGCAGTGACTCTGGGTATAACAGAGTCAAAACTACAAGTCATGTAGCCTGAGCACATGTCATAGGAAAAGCTTTAATCTCTAACAACACCTAGAAGCATTTCTTCCTATGGAACCAAGAAGACCAGGATATAAAATACTCAATATATACCTATAACCAAAGATGAATACCAGTCATGTTGAGCTCCTCTTTTAATTGCAGCAGTCAAACATGGCTTACATATTACATATGTAATACAGTTCCATTTTTTCTTAAAATGTGTACACATTTGTTACCCTCTGTATAGGGTAAAAACATGATGTCTCTCTCCATTAAGTTAAACCTTCTTTAATTTCCTTCAGCAATATGGTATCATTTTCAATGAACACTAAACATCTTTTGTTAAATTTATCCTGAAGTATTTGTTTTGATATTGCAAATGGTACTTTTTCAAATTTAATTTATGATTGTTGTGAGTGTATAGAAGTACAATTAATTTTTATATATTTACCTTGAGTCCTGAGATCTATATTTACTTATTAGTTCTAATAATAGGATCTGTCAGCTTTTATCATTCACCTTAATTTAATTTAATTTATTTACTTTAAAAAGATAGGGTCTGGCTAGGCGCCTATAGCACAGTGGTTACAGTGCCAGCCACACACACTGATTCTGGCAGATTTGAACCTGGCCGGGGCCAGTTAAACAACAATGACAACTGCAAAAAAATATAGCCAGGTATTGTGGCAGCCACCTGTAGTCCCAGCTACTTGGGAGGTTGAGGCAAGAGAATCGCTTAATGCCAAGAATTTGAGGTTGCTATAAGCTGTGATGCCATGGCACTCTTACCGAGGGTGACATAGTGAGACTCTGTCTCAAAAAAAAAAAAAAAAAGAGACAGGGTCTCATATTCCTCAGGCTGGCCTTGAACTCCAGGGGTCACCTGATCCTTCTACCTCAGCCTCTCAAGTAGTTAGGCCTACAGGTATGCATCACTGTGTGGGGCCTTATATTAAATGACAATCATTGTTCAGGGAATAATTCAATAAAAGCAAGTATTTTTTTTTTTTTGCACAATGCCCAGCAAATTTTTCTACTTGGTCTCAAACTCCTGAGCTCAGCCTCCCAGAGTGCTAGGATTATAGGCATAAGCCATCTCACCTGAAATGAGAGCAAACATTTTAATAGCAAGGTTAGAGATATAGGAAATGTTTTACATAATTGTGTTTCATTAAAAATATTATTCTTGATTCATCACCTTATTATTTATCCAGACATCTGTCAACTAATTATCTTTATTGTAAACAATTTATGATTATATAAATGAATGGGGTACAAAGTGATGTTATAATTTGTGAATAACATATCCATCACCTCAAATACTTAACTTTTTTTTCTTTTTTTTAGTTTTTGGCCAGGGCTGAGTTTGAACCTGCCACCTCCAGGATATGGGGCCGGCGCCCTACTCCTTTGAGCCACAGGTGCCACCCCAAATACTTAACATTTGAAACTTTTTTAAATTTTGAAATGAACAATACATAATAATTAACTACATAAGTTAATTCTTATTCATCATGCTATGCAATAGAACTCTCCTAATTGAAACTTTGTACCCTTTGACCATCACCTCCCTTTACTCCCTGCCCCACATCAACTCATTCTAACTAAAATCCATCAAGCCCTTGTATTAATGAGATGTCTGAAGAACAGAAGAATCTGAGGGCGAGGCAGCCTTCCCTGTGACTCTTGGAGGTGACTGGATTACAGTGAAACAAATCCTCTGTTGCTATTGATGGCTACTTGAAGTGCTTCCTCCACTCTTTCCATTGTAGAATATTTAGGGAGGTCCAGAATATTATAACAAGTCACCGATCTTGGGTGATCTCTTTCGGTGAAAGTTTCAGGACAGCGAAACATTATTCCCTCTTCCCGTAAGCCTCTCACATGCAGCCTATCACGTCCTGTAAGAAAAACTAGAAAGGAATAAACTTTGGTTAACATATTGCATGGAAAGAGTAAAACTTAAAATTAACGGGAAGAAAACAAATCACTTCCTTCAGTAAATATTTATTGAGTTCCCTTGTGCAGAGAGGACTAGAAGGAGCATAGAAAAATTATGACATTTGGTCTTTGTCCTTAGTGAGATCATGGCCTAGTTGGGAGGAAATTACAGACATGAAAATATAGTAGCAAGATATAAAGAAATTTCGGGTGGAGGGAGGGTAAGTGGTGAGACCACACCTACGGTGCATGTTACAAGGGTACATGTGAAATTTACTAGGTGTAGAATATAAATGTCTTAACACAATAACTAAGAAAATGCCATGAAGGCTATGTTAACCAGTTTAATGAAAATATTTCAAATTGTATATAAAACCAGCATCTTGTACCTCATGAGTGCATTAATGTACACAGCTATGATTTAATTTTTTAAAAAAAGATATAAGAAAATTTAATTGGCTCATCTAGGCAGTATGATGCTAGGAGCCTAAAAGACTCAAGTCAGGGAGAGAGATTTCAGGCTGTGGTCATCAGGGAGACTTTACCGAGGTCACACCTGGCTATTTCTCAAGGAGAGGCACTGGAGAAGCTTTCAAGGCAGAGGACAAAGCCCATGAGTGGGGAGAAGTACTTGAACTCAATGAACATACAGAAAGTTGAGCCACTGGGCTGCGGCAAAAGTTTCCCACAGAAAGAGAAGATGGGGAAGGTAGAGGAGGAACAGGCTGGGTTTGTGGAGAAGTTGGAATTGTCTCCCAACATCCCCAGGGGCAACAAAAGTACCAAGAAGAAAGATCTTAGGAAGAACCAAACATTGGGATGAGGTGAGAGAACAACTCTATCCCAGAGAATGCTTGCTTAAGGTTCCCACCAGGGGGCGTTCTTATACCATGAACCTCTTGGACTCACATCCTGGTTCTCCTGCTTACCAGCTGTCTGAACAAGCTGGACAAGCTACTAAATGCTCCAAACCTCTTTTCCCTCATGTCTAAAATGGGAAAAAAAGAATTGTGCCTCCCTCACAGCACAGCCTTGCTATTAGGCTAAAGGGAAGTAATAGATACACAGTGATCAGTACAGTACTTGGAGCAGAGGAAACGCACAGGAAACGCTGCCCCTGTTAGTACCAGCATCAGTTATTGTTATTATTTCTAAGTGGTATATTATTATAAAACAGATATTTTACATTTTCCAGGATCACAGGACTTATTTAAGTGAGGATAGGAATATCAGATGGAAGGCTTGATGGCACAATCTAAAAACTGGAGCCAGGATGGAGAAGTGTAAAAATGGTAGTAACATAACAATGTCTGTCTCTCTTTGTTTTTAAATGGGAAACAGTCTTATGTAAGGGCAAGAATGCTGATCTAGGCTTGGCGCCCGTAGCACAGTGGTTACCGCACCTGCCATGTACACCGAGGCTGGTGGGTTCGAACCCGGCCTGGGCCAGCTAAAGAACAATGACAACTGCAACAAAAAATAGCCGGGCGTTGTGGCAAGTGCCTGTAGTCCTAGCTACTTGGGAGGCTGAAATAAGAGAGTGGCTTAAGCTCAAGAGTTTGAGGTTGCTGTGAGCTGTGACACCACAGCACTCTACCTAGGGCAACACAGTGAGATTCTGTCTCAAAAAAAAAAAAAGAATGCTGGTCTAGAAGGCAGGGAACCTGAACGCTCATCCTTGCTCTGCCATTACTGTGTGTGACCCAGCAGTAAGAATAGCTTCAACATGAACAAGATATTTTATTTATATATTATTTACTTATTTATTTATTTATAGTCTCATTCTTGCCCTGACTAGAGTACTGTGGCTTCATAGCTCACAGAAAACCTTAAACTCAAGGGCTCAAGCAATCCTCCTGCCTCAGTCCCCCAAAGTAGCTGGGACTACAGGGGCCACCACCACGAGCAGCTAGTTTTGTTCTTTTTTCTTTTTTTTTAGTAGAGACGGAGCCTCACTCTTGTGCAGGCTGTTCTCAAACTCCTGAGCTCAAGTAATCCACCCACCTCAGCCTCCCAGAGTGCTAGGATGTGAGCCACCGTGCCTGGTCTGAATTTTTATCTTTTTATATATATGACATATAATTACAGATCTGTCTATTACTATACTACTTACGGAGAAATCTTTTCTTTTCATCCAAAGTTAGTCTGTGGAAAGCCTCCCAAAACATCAGGATAGTAGGATGCGATGGGTGGTATCCATGCCCATAACCTGAATTCTTGAGAGAAAGAGGGAAAAATGGTTTTTCAGGGGGAATACATAAAAGTTGTGTAGAAAAAGTGGGACACTTTTAGGTACCACCTACCTGTTCAAATTGCTTCCAGTCATAATCAGTATCTCCAATTATTGCTGCCATTAGTTCTTCAGGCTGGAAAAGTCTAATTATTTTTTCATCACAGACTCTATAAAATCCTCTCTGAAATTCCTCATAAACTGTTTTTACAGAGATGTTGAAAATGTAATCAACATACTTAGAAACGTAGTCTTTCCTTGGAAGCAAAAACAAGAAAAACGCTAATGACACACTTTACTACTGACTGAAATGTCCTATACTTTGCCCTCTTTACCACTGCTATGGAGAAGGAAAAGTGAATGACTTCTACACAGTACATGGGGGGCGTGTTGTGTTGGGTGGTCAGCTAGGAGCAGGAAATTTAGACAAAAGAAGCAGAAGGATTAAGATTTTATTCAGGGCAGCGCCTGTGGCTCAGTGAGTAGGGCGCCGGCCCCATATACTGAGGGTGGCAAGTTTGAACCTGGCCCTGGATGAAGTGCAACAACAAAAAAAATAGCCAAGCATTATGGCAGGTGCCTGTAGTCCCAGCTACTTGGGAGGCTGAGGCAAGAGATCACTTAAGCCCAAGAGCTGGAGGTTGCTGTGAGCTGTGACACCACAGCATTCTACTAAGGGTGACATACTGACTCTGTCTCAAAAAATAAAGACTTTATTCAGCTCTCTTCTTCCTCACTGCAGTCCTGATGATTTTTTAGAAACACTAATCCGAATATGTCATTCTCCTGCTCAAAGTCTTTCCAAACATTCCCATTGCCCTTCAGGTAAATACCCAGCCCTTTAGCAGGGATCAACCTCTTCCCGCGCTCTGACCCTGTCAGACTTGGCAGTCTCTTCCCACTCTTCCATTTTCATTCTTTTTCTTTTTTTTTTAAGAGACAAGGTCTCACCATGTCACCCAGGCTGGTCTCCACCTCCTGGGCTCCGGCTCCACCCCCTTCCATCTCCGCCTCTCCAGCAGCGGGACTCAGTGCGCACCCTCCCCCTTCCATCTTCATCTCGGGCCTGACTCCCTTCATGTCAGCGCCTGGCTGTCTCTCTTTTGCAATTAGGCCACAGAATGCTGCATTTCCTCTTGACCTGTCAGCTTCTACCATGTGTCAGACTTCAACATGAGCAAGACTTGCTCAGGGTTGGTCCTTCAGTGCCTTTCCCCTCTCCCCGGCATAACACGTGCTGCTTTGTGGAAATTATTTCTGCAAGGTCTGTCTTGCACCATAGGATGCAATCTCCACTGCAGGATGGCAGGGTTGCTGCTGGAGGCATGGCCACAGACCCGATGGTTACGGGTTACAGGTAGGGGTGGATTAGAGCCACCTGCATGGAATAGCCTGTCTAAATCAACTCCTCTCTGCCTTCTCCCTGTCACCAGTGGTATCCTGGTAAACATTTAACAACTGGCTCTCTGAAAGGGAGGGATGCAGGGGGCATCCACATTTGGAGCATTTGCTGATTTCCATGGCGCTAATGCTCCCACCATGGCGCTAATGCTCCCACCATGGCTAATCTTAAGCTACTAACACTTTGATAATAAACTCTTAATGTTTTTGAAAATTTAACAATCAGCTCTCACAAGCTGGTACCAGCTGGCTCTAAACCACAGCTACCTGTAACTCCCTAGTCTCTCAATTGGTTTAATTTTTTTCAGAGTGCTTCTCCTATCTGCCCTTATATTACATAATAATACATATTATTTGTGTATCATCTCACTGCTGCACTGGAATTTAAGCTCCAAATTTTGCCTGTTTTTTTGACTGCCGTGTCCAGCACCTAGAGTATTCGGGTACAGAATAGGGGCTCAAAAATATTTGTTAAATGAATAAATTCAGAAAAATGCTACAAAGGAAAGATTTAATTGATTCCTTTTTCCTCTTACTCTGTAGCCTTTTTAACTTTCTAAAAGACGAGACGCTAGAATAATCATTTGAGAAGCTAAAATACATTTTTAAAGTATAATGATGTAAATACTTTACATACAGTACATGTATATTGGGGAATATAGTCAAAGCAGAAATTCCAGGTCTTAAAGCTTACTTGTTGGTTTGGTTCACAGGTACGGAGTTCCCGTTTGGAATTAAGTCAACATCAGTTTGGTCCCAATGTATCTGTAACCAAAATATATTCAGGTATTAAAAAGAAAAAAAGTCTGAATAATCAGCCGCTCACAAATACAATTGTTGCTAGTACTTTTTCCCCTATAGAAATTAAAATAACTGGGAGCTAAATAATTATATAATTCAGCCTTTAAAATACATATACAAATTAAAAACCTATAGGAGTACATGTGACATATAGCTTTCAAGCCAAATTATTCTGTTTAGTTGTTTACATCATTCACATTTATTGGTTAATCACTCATCTTCACTTTATTTGGGAATATACAGACATAAGATATCAAATGAGAAGCAGGTAAAGAGAAAATCTTGCAGTAGAGAGGTAAAATAGCTTTCAAAAAAGGATCCCATATTTACTATATTACAATAAAAATTATTTTTTAAAAACGGATGAAAGTTAAACTGTATCTGGCTTTTTTTTAGTACTCACAGAAAATTGTATGTCAAGTACTTCTTCAATGTCATCACCTTCATCGTTTAGAACTTCTTGCAAATTCCTAATGAAAATTTGGTTGAAAAAATTGGATTTGTTGATCTTATAAAAATTTCAAAAGTAAATGTTCAATGGAAAAACTGTATAGAAATGCATAAAATATCATGTAAATTTCCTTTCCTCCCCCTTCCTACTTTGTCTTCCTGGAGTTAATCTCTATTTGCAGTTTGATTTGTTGGAACACTGTTGCCACACAGATACGCTCTTTCTGTGTGGAAATAACAAAAAGGGGCCTCTTCCTCTAAACCTGTGATTCTCAGCCAGGAGTGATTTTGCACCCTAACCACCCCACGGAGACATTTGGCAAAGTCTGCAGGTATCTTTGGTTTTTGCAATCATGGGGAGGGTTTCTCCTGACATCTAGTGGGTACAACCCCAAATGCTGCTAAATACTCTGCAACGTCCATCACAGCCTTCCACAACGAAGAATTAAACAACCCCAAAAGTCAGTGTATCCAAGGCTGAGAAACTCTGCTTTCATATAAATCTAGCCAATGTATTCTTCTACTAACAGTAACGGAAGAAGTGAATCCTAACTTGTTGCCAACACTGTAAGAAAAAACTTTTAATAGTTGTCAAATTTGTACAATCTATAAGCAGAAAAATAACACCTCCTTATCATTTTCGTTCCCTCGTTTACTACTGATGTTGAGTGTATTTTCATTTTTCACACACACTCACATAGCCATATCTATTTACTATTTACAAGTGTGATGACACATTTACATCCAAAGCAACTGCTTCCAACTGGAGAAAATCAAGAGACCAGGCCAGAATTCTGTATATTTATTAGTCAAAAATTAGAGAAGAATTTGGCTTTTCTCCATGTTTGAAAGTTTGCTCAATTGTAAGTCATGCTAAAATTCAAATTCATCTAAAGGGCATACAGTATAGAAATTGAAGACAGTCTATGTGTCTCTGCGTATGTAGCATTATTTATGTATAAACTGAGATTTACTAGAGAAAATTAAACAATATTTACTGAAAAAATTAACAATATTTACTTACTTCCCCAAAACAGGACTGAGTTCTTTTAAGTCTTCCAATGATGGTTTTTGGTTCAGAAGTTTCTTATACAGAGCCAGTGGGAAAGGAAGGTTGGCAACATTGGAATTGAATAAGGAGAGTCCACACAGAATTCCAAAGAGAAAGTATCTCTTCTTATCAATTTTAGGCTGAGAAAAAAGAAGAAAACAATCCCCAAAGTAAGATATTATAAATAATCAGTAATACAATAGGATAATCAAATGAGTAAAAAAAAAAAATTGGGTTCTTTCTAAAAGTCACAACTTAGAAACAAATTGGGCCTCAGGTAAATAGAAATTTGAAGTTCTTGCATACGTTATGTAACATGACTTAAATTGTTTCCATCATTTTCAGTTCAGAACATTAAATAAATAAATGTATTGTTGTTACTAATGGCATATCTGAAACAAAAAAATGTGCAGATAGCTGTATAAGCTAAGGTTTTCACTATTTAATTTTATAGTGTTTGGCTTGAAATGTATGTAGAAAAATGACCCTGAGAAAGGACAGGTGCACTTTGCAGATGAGTGTCCCATGAGTGGTGTCTTTTTTGACCAGGCAGTCCGCAGCCTGGGTGGTGTACTTACAAGGACAGGGAAGGTGACTGATGCTGTGGGCCAAGAAGGTGAGTGGAAGAAAGAAGAGGAAGAAGAAAAGAGCCCCGATGAGGCTGGCCTCTCTTCTCTGCACTTTTTCATCCTGGCAGAGAGAAAACACTGGCTCCAACTGTCCAGGCCATCACTACAGCCCAGCAGAGAGGTCTCTCACTAGCCTGAAAACTCTAGGATTTTGATCCAACCTTTGCTATCAGCAGGTGCATGACCTTGGGCCACTCACATAATATTCTGCGCCACACTCTACTTGCACTATTTACTTCTTAGAGTAATTGTG